TTCTAATTTTAATAGGATTTAAATCATCGGCCAAATTAGCCTCTACGAATCTCAGGAATCTACATTAACTCTCATGGGGTCTAAGGGCCTTATTTTTCCAACTAAGGCAAACTAAAAGATGAAATGAATACATCCAGATCGTATTTTTTTATTTTTTACGATGATATTTTTTATTTCTTAAGATTTAAAAAAAGTCCACGGAGTTTTTATAGCACTATCTAGAGGATAAACTCTTGAAAAAATTTCGATGAATGACAGATTTAGAAAAGAATAATTCAAAAATTATTCTACCGATCGATTCTTAATTCCAAAGCAGTACAAATTTCACGATTTTCATCGGATATATTTTCAATTCTTATAAGTGAATCGATAAGCGTTACACGGCACCTCGAATTAATTCTTGCTAATATCTAAAATATTAATTATTATTATTAGTATTAGAATTATATTGGTAAATAATTATTTTCAAAAAAGCAAAATTAATAGAACTGACTGACCTCGGCGAGTTTTTCAACTGGATCGTCAACTCCACTTCGCTTTTCATCGATCTTTAAATAGTTTTGCGCTAAATCCATAGGCGATGACATTGAACTTACCATACTTTCAAACATAGAAGATACTATAAAAATAAAATAAATTGATAAGTTGGTATATAAGTATATATTTATATATTGGCATATATTCGAAGACGAACTCAACTATATCCTCTAAAAATTAGCATATATAAAAAACCACATCAAAATGAGTTAAATTCGCCTAACACACCCAAAATCCTAATGGTATCGCATGCATCATACATTTCTTAAGCATTAATCTTCACTCATCTTTAGGTACATTTGCATTCCCCTTATAAATCCTCAGAATCAGCCATGACTCCTTACAGTTTTTCTCACTCTCACCTTATTAACCTTATTAAATAACATCGTATTCTTTTGCAAAAAGTATACTTTGAACCCTTAGCTCATACTTTATGCTGCCGTAAAATACCACTGTATTTTGTAAACCACATTCTCTTAAAATCAGTTATATACAAACTAAACAACCAATAGGGAGGACATTTTACTAGCAATATTCTACTAAAAGCATGCAAAATTTCTGTCTTTTGGCTCCACTAAAATTTTGGCACAAAGTGAAGTGGGGACAAAGATACATGGCAGTCACTAGTTTTCAAAACTTCCTCTAAAAAAAGCCTACCGGATATGTCTTTATAGTAGACTATTTCTTTTGGTTGAATAATAAGGCTTAATCCACGAATTTCTAGTTGTACTGATTGAGAGAACAACTCATTCCATGGAACTGTAGCACGAACTTCATCAATAAAACCATCCAATATTTTGAAAGGAAGGCAAGACGATTCACAAATTTCATTCAATTGCTGGAATGATAATATTAAAAAATAAAAAACGATAATGGTAACACTAATGATAATAAATGATTATAATAGTGCTAATCTAAAATCCATAAAAATTAAGTGCACCCGGAAATAATATAATCAATAAATAGCTAAAAGTGGAAAAAGAAAAGAATTCAATTAATTTCATTTATGTTATGGATTATGAGTGACCTGAAATTGATGCCCTATCTGAATAGGGTTAGTGGAATTATTCAAAATAGAAAAATACCTCTATATCCATTTGAATATCACGAATAATTCCAGTACCGGATAAGATACTTAATGTTAATTGATCGACATTTATCTTCGACTTAAACCAATCCCTGAGGAAATGACGAACGAGATATTCGGAAATTTCCCGATGAAATGTATCCAATGGAAAGCACCAAACCATCCGATCTATTCTTTTCTAAACGAAATGAAATTAGTACCATGGAAATTTGATAATTTCGAATAGAGGACGAAGAGTAAGAAAAAAAGGAGCAAGGAAAGTGGGTCAAGGGAAATATATCAAAAAAGCTTTTTCCTAGAAAATATACATATAGTAAAAGTAGAAAGGTAGAAGATAAAAATCAGTAGTAAAATCTGCATTTTCTTCTTTTCTAATCAATCTAATCAATGTTAAAAGCTTATTTTATCTTAAAAGTGACGCATAACAGCCTTATCACTAACAGTCTTTGCCAGGCACAGGCTATAATTAAGAGTTTCTGAAAAAATTCTCGAAATAAAAATGAATAAAATTATATTCCCTGGCAAGACGCCTTTAGATAAGAGGGGGAGGGGGGAGGGCTTCATAATCCACGCGCTCGAGCCAACCCTCATCCTAGCATCTCTTAGTTCCACTTTTGATCTAAACAACAATAATAAAAATCTCTTCCCACTCATATTCTTCTCATTTATCTCTGTTATTTTATTCGATCAGCTGTTTATCTTTAATAATCTATGAAACATACGATAAACTGGAGTGTTGCCAAAAAATGCCCCTTCAAATTCAGGGAATCATATTTGTCCACCTAACGTTTATATATTTCGAGGCTTGGCCAAGGCTTAGGATTAGACAAAAACTCAGGATTATGCCAACTGGAATGAAGATTTTAATAAATCCATTCTTTTAGAGGTTATTAGTCGTGCATAATTGTCCTTACGCAAAAGTCATTACATCGTGTCGAATAAAAAAAACATATGTAAAAAAAAGTACCAAAAAGCTCGAGTTCAATTTGATTTTAAAATAAACCTCTATGGAACCAAAGCCACATAGTACATAAAAATAGCATCATTAAAGAGTAATTCCATTCTTGATTTGGTAAGATAAAATTGATAAGCCTTTATCAGAAAATATAGATCAATATAGAAGAGACTCAAAGAATTCTCGAAATCTAGTCTATGAAAAGATTTAGCTAAGGATTTGTTTTCCATAGAGGAACCAGTACTTATGGTACTTGAGACACTAAGCTGTTCTATTTTAGCACTTCTTAAATTATTTGCAAGCAGCCACGTTTTAAACTATTTGTGACTCTTTTAAAATTACCAGTTAAACCAGAATAATCTTCGTCGTTTTCACCATAACTTCCTCCAATCTCCCATATATTCATTCAATAACCACGATTCCTCATTAATCCCTTTACTGTTTCCCTTTCTTTTTTTCTTGAAAGGTCCCTGGAATATAACACGTGGAAGATGAATTATCGAATAATGAGGAAGAAAAAAAGGAGGGAAAGGAGAAAGAGGAAGAGGAGAAGGAATAGGACAGAATTAAAGGGGTGGGGGAGGTGAAAGAGGAAACAAAACCCAACATATTGGAAAATATAATTATAATTATTCTGTTTTTTAAAATATAAAATATAATCATAAATATAATCATAAATTTTTTATTATATATTTTTGCAATATAATTATAATTTCATGCACGACCCGAAAAACTCGAGCGAGACTCATATCGGCATAGGAAAGTTGATAAATGATACTGCGTAGCCTTCGTCTACTTCTCTGTTGTCTATTAAGAGTTCAAAGAGCGCTGAGTGCTTAGTAAACAATGAAATTATATTTGATAAATATGTTTATAAAATCATAAAAAATTGCGATTTCTTTAAAGGTCAAATGTCAAAGGTCAAACGTCGTAATAAACGACGAATTTAATTTCATTAATTTATTTATTTTTTTCTTAAAGAATTTTGTTTTTTTTGAAAAAAACTAAAATTTTAGAAATTTTTATATAATTCGATATTTTTAATTTTTAATTTATTTAATTAAATTTTTATAAATTTAATAAATTTCAATTAGAAATTTTTTTAATATTAAAAAAATATTATTATTGAAAAAGAAATATATTTTTATTTATTTAAATAATTATTTATAAATAATTTAATAAATTAATAAATTAATTAAATTGTTTATAAATTATTTAAATTATTTAAAATTAATTATTAAATAATAATATATAAAATAATAATATAAAAAATTAAATTTAACAATAAAATTTTATTTTTTTCTTTTTTCCTTTCATTATTATTTATTAATTTTTTTTCGTTATTGTTTAAATTCATTTTCGATTTTATTTCATTTCACTAGCTTGTCGATTTAAGCAAATTTTACTAGAAAAATAGTTGGCAATCAAAAGTGATCATAGGTGAGTGATATTTGCACCAATAGAAAAGTTGGCAACCAAAAGTGATCATAGGTGAGTGATATTTGCACCAATAGAATTTTTGAAAGATTTATTTCGACGAAGTGAAATGAATTCCATTCATTGAGAAACTCCAAAATTATAGCATACGACTTATTAGTTCATTTTTAGTAAATTTTAGTAAATAAAAATTTTTTTTAGTAAATAAAAATTAGCTATTTTAATAAATAAATAAATAAATTTTTGAAAAAAAGAAAAATTAGAATTATTGCTCAAATTTAGAATATATATTAACCGAAATTATTCACTACTAAATCACTACTCTATTATCGATCATTTTTAAACAAATCTGGTAATTAGTATATGGAGCGATCAGCTGGTTTGGTGCTAAGCTGAAATTTAGTAGTCTATTTTGCAGTCGTCGATTTTAAAAGATTTTGCATAAACGTTCATTATTCTAACTGTTTTTCGCGATTTATTGAACTGATTTGGTTGAGTGATGTGGTTTTTCTTTTTTTTTCTTTATTTTTATTAATTTAAATAATTTTAAAATATTGATAAAATGTATTTTTATTGTAAAATGTTGTAAAATATTGTATATTATATTTTTAAAAAAATTTAAAAATATCGAAATAATCGATTTATAAAGATTTATTAATTTCTGATTTTTATCGATTTATTTTTTTGGTTTTTTTATATTATTGATTTTTTATTTCATTTATATTTATTTTTATAATTTATTCATTATAAATTATTATTTACTTTTATTACAAGTTTCATTAATTGTTTAAGTTTCATTACTTTTTTAAAATATAAATTTTTGGCGTTAATCGAAATCTTTATGATTTTTTCAAAATTTATCTATTTATTTATTTATCTATAAATTTATCTATTCATTGACGATTTATTAGAATTCTAAAACAATTATTGTTTTTTAATTATTATTAGTATAATAATTATACATTTTGGCGTTAACGAAGAAAAATGTCGATAAATACATCAAATACGCAAGATGGTTATGGTGTACTTATATACAATGGCGAAATGTTAGTCTTCCTTTTCGTCAACTTTCTTTTTTTCTCCTTTTTTCAAATTTTTAAATTTTTTTTAAATATCTTTTTAAATTTATTTTTATGAATTTATATAAATAAGATTCAAAAACTTATCGAAGAAACGTTTTTTGATTGGTTGTCATCCATATTTTTGAATAGCAAATTTATTTTTGCAGAAATCTTAACATTGATTCTCCAAAATAAGCAGGCAAGAAGCCTTTAAGTCATTCGGCATCTGAATTTATACCTAAAATAAATAATGTGAAAACCTGTTAATATCCAATTTCCTTTTTCATCAACCACTTCGACCCTTCAATCTTAAATTCTATGGTTATGCGGGTGAACATCGCTGTTATACCCTTAAAAATAATAGTTTTGATGCCAGGTGATGCTGGCGACTCACCTATATTTCTATCGCCAAAGGACTCTCTGGCATATTGCCTAATTGCGACAAGCTAGTGGAGCGAGTTTAACCAGTAATGGTGAGGACTCTCAAAAAAAAAGTTATTTAATATTTAGTTATTTAGTTATTTAAGTTATTTATTTAAGTTATTTAAGTTATTTGATGCAATTATTTTTTTAAAATAATTCAAGTGAAATTTTTTCAAGATTTTATATATTTTTAGGAGTAAAAATTTAACTCATAAATCCAGAATCTAAATATATAATATACAGAATTCCAGAAATGAAATTTTCAGGATTCTTATTTATATTGATGAAGTGGTTTTACAATTTTCGAATGAACCAAATGCAATTTTTAAAGGAAAGAAATGCGGAAATTTATATTTGACTGGTCATCGAGTTCAGTTTTTCAAAATTTTTTTCCACTTTTTTTTTACAAAAAATTGTCGAAATATTTCGAATTCCTTTGTCTAATTTCATTTTTTTCTTTAATTCTAAGAATTTTTATCTAAATTTTTGTTTGTTAAGATAATATTCATCAATCGTAATAAAGATGAAATGAGATCGTTTTCGATGCCTTTCCATTGTTTGAGAAATGTGAGATTGGAACAGCCAGTATTGGGTGCGAATTATTTGATAGGTGAAGTAGTATCACAGCCAGGAGGTAACTATTCGTTTTTAATGATTTCATATATTTTTTTAATATGTTTTCATTTTTAATCTAAATTTAGAAATCGAAGACAAATATTTTTACAAATATTGTTGGAGCATTTGTAGCTCTTGTTTGTTGAAGGTTTATGCTTTGTTGTTCCGATTCTAATAGATTTGGAATACAAAAGAATAAAGTCAGCTGATTTTAAATAAATTTTTTTTCGCGAATTATTTTCAGGAAATTGGGATGGTAAAGTAACATGGAAATTAACCTTCAACAAAGGTGGTTGCATCGATTTCGGAATGGCTCTTCTCAAAGCAACTGATATGGGTTAGCAACTGATATTATTTTATCTTTTTGATTATTTGAAGCTATTAAGCTTTTTTTGTTGTCAATTAAGTACCCATTAAGTTTATATATTAAAAATATATTAATATATAATATTTATATATATATATTAAAAATGATTGTTAAATGTTAAATAAATTGCGACATATTTCTGATTGATTCAAATTTTTAGCCCATCAGTTTCGTCCATACAACGCACCGCCGCCTTATGCTCCTCCTCCTGGCTTTTTCTTTGCAGCACCTCCATGCTATTATATGCCACCGAATGGTATGTACAATGGATTCCAGGCACCTGTGAATGTATTCCCAGACCAGCCACCAGGTATCGTTTTTTGATTACTACGAGTTTTTTTACTACCTTAATTTTGGATCTTAATAACTTTAATTTTTTATATAATTCTTTCAGTTGATTACATCAAAATATAAACTAGCAAACCAAAATATAAAATATTTTATATTTTTTTCAAATAGTTTTTCACCGAACTAACGAAAATATCTTTAATTTCACTACATATTTTCTAAGTTTTTTAAAATCTAATGATGCTGAATATTTTTTCAAAAATTTCGTCAAAATCACAAAATCACTTTCGACAAAATCTTTGTAAAGAATATTTTAGTTGGTAATGTATTTATCTACGAAGCGCCACCACCATATACAGGAATTGGTCCAAATCAGCCTCCAATACCAGGCGATGCACTACGTGGTGCTTCTGCTCCACAAGAAATGCCTCCAGCTTATTATCAGCAAGCCGGGCCGCTTCCTCAGAAATCTTAATTTTTTTATATTTTCTGTTTCTATTCTTTCACTCACTTTTTTTGTTTTCCCATTCCAATGTTTATAATCATCAGCATTCATTTTCTGTGGTGATATATTTAGTTTGAATTGGCCATAATTGTATGGTATTCTGCCAGATATTTTACTTACGCTCTCGATTTTTTTTATTGTTATTAAGGTATATTTATTTTTTTCTCTTATCAATGCTTATTTTTATGATTATAATCGAATTCTATTCTGTTCTCTTCAATGCATTAAAAATCTACAATTCTAATTTATCTCTTTATCTATTTTTGTCTTTTATTAACATAATTTTCTCAAATAAAGATTTATTATTTGTTTTATATAAATGAAGAAAAAAAATTTATGTACGGTCACCGTCTATATTTTTATAGAAATTTTAATTAGCAAAAAGATAATTCATGGTTCTTCTTCTAAGAGCATTCATTATTTTTCCTCTGGTTTACTTCAACATTTATTGTTTATAGTTATTTAAATGGAGATGAAGGAAAATTTCACAAAATGAAAATCTTATTTATTTTATTTATTTAATTTTAATTTTATTTTTTATTTCAGTAATAAATTTACTGCAGTATTTTTATGATAACCATTTCACCACTATTGTCAAAAAATAAGAATGAATGCAATTCGGAGGCTAATATCGCTAAACAGTGTAATGGTGTTGTGGATAACGTGATAAAAGCTATTATCACTGTAGTTGCCGAATGGAAGAATTTAAGGAAAAATGATATTGTTCTTCCTCTAGGCAAAGATTCTTTTGCCACTCGATTTCTTGTCGTTGCTTTCGATTATTTATTATCTTATGGGTTTGCTTTTATATGTATATATTTTTTTTTCTTTTATGAATTTTGCAATTTATTTCATGTGATTAATTCATTATTTCCATTCTAGGCTGAGATTGATATTTGTTCCAAAGTTCAGCTAAACCTTTTTATTATTATTATTAAATGCGTAAGGTTGTTTTAGGTAGATTCTAAGGTGGAAAATTATTTAATTCACGATTTTATAGAGATAATTTTTATCGCTATTTTTTTCCTTCTAAAAAGATTTTTTAATTAATATTATATTATATTTATTATTATATTTAATATTATAATTCGATTGTTTGGATAATTTTAATTTTTTTTTTTTTTAAAGGATGTTGTAATTCATAATTTCTGTGGTCCAATGGTAATTTAATTTAGTTTAAATGGCAGTTCATTTGATATTTTTTTTTTTTAAATAATGAAATTAATCTTATTGCAGATTCACTAAAGGTAATCGATTGTATTGGTATTTAATCAAAGAGTTTTTATCGAAAGAAGAAGTTGATTATTTCAAACGAGAATGGCAATGTAGAAATAACCGCGATTTATCTATCGCTTGGTTGGAAGATAGTTTGAATAGAAATTTGATTGCTTCCTATTTTGAGGTATTTCTTTTAATAAATTTTTCTTAAACAATTAAGAGTTTTTATTTTTAATAATTAAATTTTATAAAATTTCATTTCTATTTAATCTATTATTTACCTTAAATTTTTGAAATATAATTATAATATTCAATCTTATAACTTTAAAATGTCGTCGCATCGGTAAATTTACCAAATTTAATTATTTCCTTTATTTTAGACGTTTTTGCTGAATTGGGATGAAGTGATTAAACGTTACAATATTCATGCAGTAATGAGAAAGCGATCATTAGTTGAACGTATCGCAAAACAGTGCCAAGATTTATCCATTGTTCAGTTTCATTTTCCTGTAATTTTTTGATCAATTAAATTTAATTTATGCTTAAACATTGTTTATCTTTGGAATATTTCAATAAGATTAAAAAAATTTACCATGTTTCTTTATAGATGCCAACTCGCATGGATGCACCACTTGCTCAGTGGAATAACTCAGTGCATTTAAATCAAAGTAATGGTATTGCATCAACCTGTTTGTCATTAGCGGCAAATAATTCGAGGTCGTCTCAACACTATATGCATCCGGTTAATGATATGCAAAAAGATGAGAAAAATCATCGTGAAACATCAGTTGCAGATATTGAAATTCCGCCAGATTTTATTGAAAAGCAACCACCGATTGAGGATGAATTATCTTTTTTATCTACCAGAGATATGGTTAGTGCAGCGGAGTAATCTTATTTGATGAATCTTTGAAACTGCATTACTTCTTTAATTCATATTCAGGAACATTTATTCAGTGAAATGCTTGTGCGGGATGATGTTTTACGTCACGTTGATAGTAAAAATCGTTTATCCAGTGGAAATTTGCAAGAACCATCTTTCTCTGGACAATCGTCACAAACACTTGTCACTAATAATCCTGAGTCTTTGTCTGCGACAAATGTTGAAGTATTCTTGTTTTAGATGATCAGTTTTTTAAGATTTTTTTTCAAATACGTTGTTTTTGTAGACGTTTAGACGTATTGAAAGTAAAGGTGTTAGGGAATGATATATATAAGTGGCATATTAGAAAGGCTTTTCATGTATTGTATTAAGGTTAGAGCTCTATATCTCTTATAAAAAAGTTGAAAAAGCCATTCTTGCGATAAGATCATATTTTCCACTGTTTTCCCGTTTTAAAAGCTTATGCATTTTTGTTTCTTTTCTAAAATATATTGAAAAATTGGCTTACTCTATCTTTTATTTATATTATTAATTCTTTCTAACTATATATTTCTATTTTTTTAGAATAATACGAAATTTGTGCAGAATCCATATGATGTGGCATTAAAACAGAGTATTTCTAAAGCAAAGTTGCTTGCTGAACAAGAACGCCTTGGATGGAAGGAATCTGTTCAGTCTTCTATTTCCGAAAGTATTGAAACAGTGCCATTTGGAGAAGTGCAGTGAGTTTCATTCTTTTTATTTCATTCATTTCATTCTTTTAAAGAAATTTTTGAACATCATCAATCACCTAATAAATAATTTAATTGGTCTCTTTCTATCGTTATTTTTTAAATTTAAGTTTTACAACAAATTTAGTTTAAAAGGTTTAAGGAATTAAAAGGTTTAGCGTACTAAGGAAGTTCTATAAGTAAAATAATAAAAGTAATGATTTGATTCGTGCGAAAGATGGAGGAGGAATTTAAAAAAATGTTAAGGAATGATATCGATGAACATATCTGAATTGCTTAATCTCTAGTTTATTTTCATCGGTAAAACTAATATATATTTTATAATATATGTTTATATTTTATATATTATTGCTGAATCGAATTTAGACTCTTTAACTTTAGACTCGATGCCGGCGAAATAATAGGACTTTCTTTGAATGTTTTTAAACAAGAAGCCGAAAGATTTCTGAAGTTTTATCAGGTTATTATAACAAATATTTGATTGGTGCATTTGCATTTCTTGCATTTTTTTTTATCGATTTATATTGAACTCATCATTATAGATTTTTTCATTCACAGCTAATTTTAGAAGTATCTAATTTAAGGTTTTTACTGCTTTTGGAACTGGTCAGCCTGAACGATGTTTTTTTGTATTGACGAATCGTGCCGTTTATCTTTTATCTTTAGTTCTTCATGCGAATTCCCGTAAATCTTATATTATTGATGCGTATTTGCCATTGAAAGAATTAAGTCACGTCGTGGTTTGTTTTAAAATCTCTTTGAAAACTTAAATATTTAGTTTTTGAAATTGGACTTTCAGGATTTTTCATTTGTTTCTGATTGGCCGTATTTTTATTTGATTGTGATAATATGTTGAAATTACTTTGATATTTCATGTCTATTATTAGCGTTTTTTTAAGGTCGCTCCGGATTACGAAGTGATTTATTTCAATGCAATAAAGAATTCCTCTGTTTGCTCAAGTCATGCTGTTTCAACAAGCTTTGAAGTTTGTACAGCTTGTTCTCAACTTGGTCATTGTATTATTGATGCAATCAAGCACGCTTATGAGGATTCATACTTTTATTCATTAGATGAGCCACAAACTCGAACTCTGACCGTTTTAACGAAATCTACACCATATGAGCTGATATTACGAAGATTTATATCTAAGGAAATTTCCGATGTGAGTTATGAGTAAATTTTGGCATATTTTAGCTAATTTTATGATTTATTTCCATTTCATTAAATTTCAAAATTTTATAGGAAAGCGCCGAAATAAATTCATACTATCTTTGTCAGTGGCAACAAACGAATTTAGATGGAACTAACAAATTCACTGTTCAACATAGTGGTTATCTATATTATAGAATCACTACTAATATTTCTTGGTTGCGACGCTCTGCTGAATTCAACCAAAGCTTCTTTCATTTACAAAATAAGAAACTTTATCAGTTCGCAGATTCATCATGTAAATTCGGTGAACGAGTTATTCCTATCTTGTAAGACTTTTTTGAAAAATAAATTTCCAAAAGATTTCTAAAAAATCAATAATATGCGAATTCATTTATAGCATAATTTCATTCCACTGCGTCGGTGGCTAAGTGGCAAGATAATTACCACCCAGAATCGACGTTTGGGTTCGGATTTGCTAAAGCACCGCTCTTCATAAAGTGGCATTAACGGAGAAAAGCAAAAGGAGAGTGGGATAACTCAGTGGATTGTTGCTCAATTCGGAGCGCCGATTAAAGTTCTTTTCCCTGCAGGAGTAAACCTGTGCGAAAATCCAGGTGATGCTGACGAGCGACTCATCTCTACTTCTGTCGCTGAGAAACTCCCTGTAATATTTGCCTAGTCCGATAAACCAGCGGAGCAAGTTTAACCACTAATGGTGAGTACTCTAAAGCAATTTCATTAGCTGCGAATTTGCAGAGATTCAGTAAAACGAATAACAACAATTGATGGTGAAGAAGAAGCGCCATATATGTTTGAAATGGAGTTGCAGAATAAAGAAGTGATAAGTTTTATTTGTCAAAGTAGCAGTGATCTCAACAAATGGGTCTCACTTATTAATTTGGTTCTTTCTTCTGATGTAAGTTTTCTTTTTATGAATGAACTTGGCTTGGTATGCTTTAAATTTACGAATTTTTTATTCATTTCATGACATTTTTGAATCATTTCAGAAGAAGAAAAATTATGAAAAATTAGTTAAATAAAAATTGTATTTACAATAGAAATTACAGCAGAAAACAGCTCACTGCACCATTCAGCCAAATTAGCGAACTTTTTAAAGAAGAAAATGGATTTTTAGGATATTGTCGATCATCCAGTAGCTTGTGTAGTTTTAATCACTCAGCAATGTTTATTAATTGCGCAAGAAGGACTGAAATGTGTAGTTGATGGTTTTATGCGTCTTCTAGAACGTATAGATATATCAGTTATCAAATCAGTTACTGGTGTATATACCGCTGAACGATATGCTTGTATCATAAATGATGGTTCCAAATTGAATTGGTTAATTATGAGATCACCTTGTCAAATCGATAGAATATTAGCTGCTTTAAGGCTTCTAGGAGTATGTGATTTTTTTTTTTTTAAAAAGTATTTAAATTTTTCATTATCTTAATTTTATGTAATAAATATTTATTCAAATAACTTTTTTTCACTAATTTTTCAGGTTTCGAAAATAAATTTAGAGGAAGATGGCTCATCACGATTTTCGTCGAAACTTAATTCTTTATCAAAGTCGATTGATTTCTTTTATTTTAATGATCAACATGCCGATGATGCATTTGAAGTTATTTATAATACGTAAAATATTTACCTCATTCCTTTTTTTTTTTTTTTAATCCGGGTTTTTCTTATAAAAGAATATATAAAAGCAGCTTATTATATTTATATTATTACATAATGATAATAAAATGCTTCCATTATTAATCCTATTTTTTATCCTTTTTTTTTCTTTTTCGTCTTAATGTATCGTGTTAAATAAGTAATTAATAATATAAAATATATAATAAACTGACAATTATAATATAATTGATAATTATGAGGAACTAAGGCAAAATACAAGAAAACTGAATTCGCATATTTAATTAATACGTATATTTAATTTGAAAAAAAAAACTTGCGATTAAAGAAAATAGCAAAAAAATTATATAATAATTTTCATATGCAGTAATCAGTAATCTATTTAATCCGCTGACAATTATTTACGTTCATTCCGTTCCAAATGATCGTCACGATCAAAATTATCTTAACATTCCAGTAATCAGCAGTAATAATCAGCAGTAATAAACAGTAATAATGCAAACTAACAAAAAAAAACAATGAATAATGGCAAATAATCAGTTCTAACGAATAATCTCGATTCTTCATATCATAAAAATTCAGTTAATTATAAGTCAATCAATGGAAAATAAAAAGCTATAAGAAACGATCAGTAATTTTGAATACAATATCTTAAAACTTCGATTTTTGGCCAATTTTTTTTTTATTACGATAGAAATATTCAAGTAAAAAATGAGTTCAATGCCTAAAATGATGTGTTCACGCTGTGATGCAGTCAAAAATATCAATTCAGTTTAAACATTTGTTCAAAAATTTAGAAAGAAATGCAATTTGTAAAAATAATAGCTTGTCATGACACTAAGAAAAAAAATCAATTTGTATCACAATTTAATCGAGCAAAATTAATAAATAAATTCTTATTTATACGTTTTACAAAATGTATATGATATATGATTTCGAAATTAGATTTTTTAGAAAAAATCGAAAAAGAATCAGACGAAAATGCGTTTGAAATTAAGAATCACAGTAGAAAAGGATTCGTTGGCTGATGAGATGTCGTTGGCCTATTTGCGCCGTCATTGCTCATACTACGATTTTGATTTAGCATTTGATTAAGTGTTGGAGAAGGCCGCTGCTGAGCCACAAACGGATTTGCCATTCCCGTGCCAGTACCAGAAAGAAATGGATTACTCGCTAAAATTTTGTAATTAAGGCGCGCTATCAGAGACCCATTAAGTCTTTACTGGAATCAGTGGCAGCAATATCAGCCCACAGGCCCATAATCAGTCACATAGTCAAATTTTGAGGAATTTTTTCTCACTTCAGTGGATGGAAGATGAAGACACGCAGTTAAAATCTCAATCAAACCAACATTCTATTTAATTCAACTTAATTCGAAGAGAAAAAAGAAATGAAAATGAAATGAAATTTAGATAAAAAATCGTTACTCACTCTCTAATTTTTCATGAAACCAACCTGGTTTAGATGTTACATTCGTAGCTCCCAACAAATTATCCAAATTCACTAAAGCCGAATTTTCACCTAGAAAACTTTCAGGAGTCTTTGCATTACTTCTTTTCTTTGCCTTTTCATCCTCCGAGATGAGATTTGTTGAAGCCGGATCAAGAGATGTCGCTGGAGACCATGGATCAGTAAATGCACCACTGCTACTGCTCACCGGTGGCGATAATGATAGAGACCATGGATCATTTTTGTTTTCAGCCAGTGGTAATGTTGGATATACTGGAAAAATTAGAAATAAAACCAGTATCACCTTTCTAGCCCACAATTTTTCTGTCGCAACTTTTTATTTAAATAAAAACGAAAAAACCTGAATTATTAGCTGTCGCACGTGATGGAGCCCATGGATCGACAGTTGTTGTTCCCCACACACTTGACTCGGAACCAACAGGTTCACCAACACCCAATGAGAGAAGATCATCAATCGCACTTTGCGAAAGAGTTGAACCAGAAACCATTTGAGGTTTAGCATTTGCTAATGCGCTTATACGTTCAAGTTCGCGACGGCTTTCATTAATTGCCATCTTAAGGAAAAATAAAAATTTATCCATTAACTTTAATTAAGAAAGGTTAAAATAAGATAAGATAAAAAGCATATGACAAATTTAGCTGAAGAAAATTTCGAAATTACTTGTAAACCAATATCATCCTGCTTCCTGAGCTCTTCTTCTTTTTCACTTTCTTCCTTTGACATAGCAAGAGCAATCTGTAGTTGCATTTCTTCTTCACCAGCACTTCCAGGTCTCGCATCTTCCAATTCTGATTCTTAAATAGAACATAAATGAAAGGTAACTAAAAAAAACAAGAAAGAAAAAATAATTATGAAAAGTATTTCATATATCTAAATCCAATTTTTCATAACAAAACCTTTACTGACCAAAAACTGGTCCAGTATCCGATCTTCGCACATGTCTAACAGTTCCATCTGATGATATGGCAGAGCCACTCATAAACTTTCGCCTCGTTATCATAAATTTAGTTCTTTCATTTTTTAAGCGCTCTTCATCAAATAATAAAGCAACCATCTGCTTCGCCTTTTCTCGCACATTCATCCCCTGATCTCTATTATCCTCAACATGTTGGAAATCCTTTAGCGTTTCAATCGAATATATATTTTCTCGACATTGCTGAGCTACTTTTTCACTTCCACACTAAAACAGATGAATTCTATCTTAATTTTATCAATTATAAGAATAACGATGTCGACTGAACTCTATGTTTCTTGATCTAGATCTGCAACGTATATTCAATTCTGGTCTTTTGAAAGCAAACCTGCCAATAAATATGAAGTCCGGCCGCCAAATCTAAATCTATAATCTAAGTCTAAGTCTAAGTCTAGCTAAGTTTCTATGAATTTCATTATCATAACCAGTATGCACTTATTATTCACTACAATAGTTAACCTTGTTCCATTCACTATTTACAACTGATATTATGAGAAATTTTTGCCCGGAAGTGACCAAGAAAACTTAAATAGAAGCACTATCCACTATTCGTGTAGAAAACAAAATGACTCGATATGATAAAATTAAACAAAAATCATTCTAGTCTAAAATTGATAAAAGAAGAAGAATAACGAATAAAAAATATCGACTTTCGTCTTTCTAATAAATTTATGTGGTACGCCGTATAAAGGTTACTTAATATTTTAACTATTTAAAGATATAAAAAAGTCAAAGTCCGTCCTTTTCTGAGCAAAATTATGAATAAATTCATTAAAATAATAAAAATATCCAAGAATGAAAATTTTTAAAAAAAACCTTTATTAAATAATCGAGAAGAACGAGACTTTTGTAAACATGTCGCCAGTTTTTACCATGATCATTTAATCTTTTCCATAACATTGACATTATTTCCGCAAACGACGATGGATTATGAGTTAAATCCGCAATTTGTGACATAAGTGCAGTTGACGGACCCCACGGATCATTGCTAAAAAAAAAAAAAATCGTAAATTGTTTTGCCTCTTAAAAATTTTCCAAACTGAAAATTTTGATAATTTAAATAATATATTTTATTTTAATAATAAAATATAACTCATAAAATAATTATAAAGAATTTTTATAATAAAATTTTATTAATAGTAAAAATTATAAAGACTACACCTTGTTGCTTCTCGAACTTTAACCTGCGCATCGGAAAAATTGTAAGCGACATTTTTTACTTGCCTTCTTATCGTCGAAATTGACATTAAAAGGCTTTCAAAATAACTAAAATTCATATAAATGAGAACGAATGCCAAAATGAAAGCAAATGCGTAGAGTTTTGACTTCGATAAAACTGACAAAAAACTAAAATTGCGCATAAATCTCTTTGATAATACCGATAATAATAAAAGAGAAAAAAGTGAAATATCAATAAAAGTAGCTTCAGATTAATTTTTTTATTAACAACTCTTTTTTTTCTATAGCACTCATCATTTCTAGCCGATTTTTAGCTGGCTTCACTGATTACAATGATAATGCGATTCTAAGCCTTTTAATCTAATAAATAAATTTATTTGAAAAAAACCCATAAACCAGAAAAAAAAAAAATCTGGAAATGGCGAAATTTTAACTGGTTCAACTGATAATTGATAAGTGAAATCCGCATTGAATCAGTCAATTTTTCATATGGACTAATGAAACTAACGCTGACCGAAGAAGGATTGCAGTTTTACAAATCTCTGCTGAAGATAAATTTTCGCGTTATTATTTGCAATATTCTCAAACACAATAAATAAAACATCTGAATGGAAACAAAGCTAAAAGATGAAGTGAACATGAAATATTCCACTAAATATTCCCTTCCTTTAAATTAATTTACTTCTGTTGATTCATTAAGATTATATAATTTTTAATGGTTTAATGAGAAAAAAATTCTAATTTGGAGAAAGGAAAGAAGGAAAGAAAAAAAAGAAAGGAATGAAAAAGAAAAGAAGGAAGGAAAAAGAAGGAAAGAAAAAGAAAGGAATAAAGGAAAGTAAAACACATATATGAAATTTTTCCAAACAGTTAATTTAGAAAAAAATTTCATTTAAAAGCAACTTTAATAGTTTAAAAAATCAATTGTAATAAAATTAAAAAATAAGAAATAAGAAATTTAATTTCTTTTTTCTATCAATTTCGGCTAAATCTAAATTAGTTAGCCTTTTTTCCGCATCGAATAAACTTTTGCCGAAGAAAACACTTTGCGATAGATTAGATTAGATTAGAAAAGACAGATAGAGAGAAGTACAAGTGAGTAGGCAAAGTCATCTCATCTATCCGCATTTTCGAAAAACTTCCGGCGGATGTCAGAATTTTCGCATCAACCTTCCGTTCCGAACAACCATTAAGCTATTCGACTCATAAAGCCATAAAGCCATTAAGCTATTCGACTCATAAAGCCATAAAGCCATTAAGCTATTCGACTCTTTTAAAAATTTCAACTATAATTCAACTATAACTATAATTCAATTTTTATGATTATTTATGATAAATTCTTTTTTTTTTTTTCAATGAATTTATCGCGCTAATAAATTTATTGAAGTCAAGAAGAACGCCATTAATCAATGATACTCGAATGTTCTATTTATCGAGCAAACAGCGTTAACATTTTCTAATCAATTAAGGAGGGAGTACAATAATTCAGTGGAACACTATTTTCATTTCGAATCGCCAACGCCGAAGTTCCAATGCAATCACGAATAGGCTGATTTTTTTCTTTTTCAAAATCCAGGATAATATTTGCGATTACTGACGAAATTAGAGAGAAGACTAGAGAAATTTTCGTAGAGAAAAAATAGAGAAAAGGAATTATAAGTCATATGAATAAGCCTAATCAAAAATGGTGAGCCACAAGCGATTCAACGAATAGGTGACGAAAACCTGTGGAAATATCATATTTTATCCTAGAAAAAAACCGCTTCTCTTTATTGACTAGTGGAACTATTAGCCAAACCAAAGAATATGCTTCCCGATATATTTTTCTCTTCCTCTTTTTCTAAATGCGCTTATCATTTCTGATTTAATTGATTACGGCGAGAGGTTTTAGCCAAATAATCATTTAGGAATAGAATTGCAGTACCATCAAGATTTCTAAGCCTAGCTAGCCTACACCAACAAAACTCCTAATGCTTGACCTAAGTTATCAATCAATTCTTATCATTCGGCCAATTCATTAATGCTTTTCGTAAAAAAACAAAAACTTCGCGGAAAACTGATATGATTATCAATAATATCAACTTAACATTAGTAATAAACCCATTAGATATTACGTCAATCTTAAACTAGCAAATCGATTAAACTACACCACTACTTCACTAAAACGTCACATCACCAGCAATCACCAATGCGCACGTCCGCCTTGTTCTCATTTCGACCATTACTACATCACAGTTTCAGATTAAAACTTGGCCGCTTTGTAGCAAACTGCGGCTGTTCGATAAGCAATCTTTTAAGATTAGTCGGGAACTAGTCGAACATAATTTGAGTGGAAAGACCTAGAGTATTGGTACTTCCATCTCACTTGGCACCATGCCAACTTTTAACCGTGTAAATCCCTGAGGAACTCTGGGCTAAAAGCCGAAAGAGCCAGTAATAGATGGATTCGGCAGTCTTTGCCGATTGAAGTCAGGATGCTGTTAGTTCGAGTCCGCGACCTCATATCGCATCAATTCGCCTTATCTCATATCATATCACGCCATATACTGGCAAGTCATGCTCTCTTATTCCTTAGTTTTCTTTTTTCATTATTTTTACGATTTTATCAACAAAACAAGTGAATCTTATCACAATAACAAGAAAATACAATTCTAAATATAAACTTTTACCCATATAATTCAATCAAATTTATAAAAATTAAAGCAAATATATTTTCAAATTTAAAAATAAATTTTAAAGAAAATGACAAAAAATTATTAAAAAAATTATAAAATAAAAATTAATAAAAATAAAAAATAAAAAATTTTAGAAAAAAAGGGAAATGAAAATTTAATGAAAGTATTTTGATTAAAGAGAAAGGAAAATAAGATGAAACTAGGAATTAAATAAAATAAGAAAAATTAAAGAGAAATAAAAACAAATGAAAAAATAAAATTAATAAGTATAATCTTTATGAAAGCAACAAAAATAAAGTTCAAATTTAAAAAAAAAAAAAAAAAATTATAAAATGAAGGCTCTGTTCAAGGCTCTGTATACGGATATAAAACATTATCACAGAATTAAGTGAAAACTATTTTTGACAACGAGGCAACTTTGTATCAAATTTTAGTGCAAAAATTAAATTTTTAGTTGCAGAAAAACTGACTAAAGAAAATCACAAAGAAGATCAAGAATTAACAAAAAGACGAATAAAATAACCCAAAACCATAGATTATTTCATCAATAATTTTAAAAAATTAATAGTAACAATATATTAAACACCAAAATACAAAATGCAAATCAATTATTAATAGAAAAATTATTGCAAAATCAAAAATGAAAAACTATCAATGAAACTGAATTTATTAGCTAATAAAACAAAATGTATCTAACGTTATCGATAAATGAGCAAGAAATAAGTAATGTAAAGCATCAGTGAGCAGCCTTTGGTACACCAAGCAGAAATTCCGCTACACCAATATAATATACCATTTGTGCAATACCAAATAATGGTGCCATTACCATCATACGACAAACAGCTCCTTTGAAAAGCGCATTCAAACCTTCTTCTTTCAAAATTTTTCTAAAAAAAAAAACTCATTTCTCCAAAAATGAAGGAAATGACAAAAAAAATTTGAAAATACTGAAAAGATAATTTTAACAATTGCATAGTATTTTTTCTGAAATGATAAAATAAAAAATATTAAAATTTACACAAAGCCATCAGTAATACTTTTATATTGTTTTTCACCAAGACCTCGATTTATTAGCTGCATTCGAGTTTTTATAACTGAAATATTAAAGGAAATAAGAAAACTGACAAATCAAAAAATTATTTACAATTATAATTTAAATAATGTCAGTCATATAAAATAACCATCCAATGGCGTTACAGCAAATGAAGCAACTGCGCCTCCAATCATTCCTGAGAGAAATGAAGCATAAAACACTGCATCGCCACTACCATCTCTCGAACGAGGTCCCTAAGAAAAATAATTGTTTCGGGATATTTCTAATTCAAATAATATTTAAGAAAGAAACTAGATTTAAGAAACTTTTTCTGATCAAATGTTCATATGAATTCAAAAGAACATTTAAAAAACTTACCATTGAATCTAGAAATGCAAAAAGAGGAAAATAAAAAATGGAAAATGAGACGTCACGAGCCATTGTTGGAAAGAAACCTTTATATAAACCAAAAATTCCTTTTTGACGGAATAAATTTATTGCCAAATTCATAGCCGTTAACTGATTCCCTTTAGATTGAACTGAAAAAGAAAATTCCATATTATCGCTAATTTTTTAGAAAAGAAAAAGATATGACGTAAATCAAATTAATAAATAAAATTATATCCATCACAGCAAATTCAATGTCCCATTTAAATTTATTATTATGGATCTTAAAAACTCTTTAAAAAATATCGTCATGAAAGAAAGAACTTCCATTTTATGAAAATAGGGAAACAGGGAAATTTAATGACAAAGTTTTCATGTTTTTCTATTTTCTTGATTCAAGATTTTCAAGTACACATTAACCTTTCAAATACTACTGCTAACAAATTTTTAATTATTCAAATGGAAACCGAAACACATCTCCAAGAATGAACAAGATTAAATATGAAATGAATTTGAAACGTAACTAAAAAACTCTCTTTACTCTAAATATATGGCGATGAATAAAATTTACTTTGTACTCGACCAGCATCTTGCATTTGTATTTTTAACAATTCCATTGGTGTAGTGATAACAACTTGACAGAAACCAGCGCCACCACCAGCTATCATTCCTCGCACCACTGATAACTGATTTTGATCGGGTACTGCTAGACAATTACGAAAAAAATCATTTGCAACTAATTTAATAGCTTTTTCTGGTGTAATAAGGAATAAATTGACACCACTTCCCGCGTATAATCCTCTTATTTTTCGAAAAAGCGTCACGCCACTGTTTTGCCATGTTTTCCTCGCACAATCAACGCTAAAATCAAATCAAGAAAAAAACAATGAGAAAAGATGAGAAGCTTGGAAATTTGATGGAAAACGTGAGAAAATCGAAAAAAGTGGGCAATTCTGAAACGAAAAATTCCAAAGATTAGTCAGCTGTTCGCAAAGTACAGAATCGTACTAAAGTATGAATAAAATCCAACTATTAGTAAAGACTAAAAATCATCCTAAAGTAAAAAATTGAAAAAAAAATTTGAAAAATTTGGATGAAAGCCATTAACTACCCTAATTTTACGAGCATTCTAGCGAAAAGGGTTTTAATAATTTATGAAGTAATGAATAGTCCAAACAAATGAACAATTCTATCTAAGTAAGGAAAAGAAGAAAAAGACCAACATGCCCAAATATTGCAATTTTGCTGAGCATGATGATCGTTGATTCTGTAAACGAGTTTTTACAAGATCGATTGGAAATACGCACGTCACACCAACGATTCCAGCGATACCTCCATTTAAAATCTTTGGAATATATCTTTAAATTACAAAAATGATTTTAATGTAAAATATAATAGTAAAAAAATTTTTGAAAAAAAAAAGAATTTAATCATAAATATTTTAAAAAAGAATTCTTATTGACAATATAACGACTTAAATAATACTTTAAGAGCGATTTTAGAATATTTTTATTTTGTAATTTTTTTCTTTTAGAAAGTATTTAATCTTTTTTAATAACTAATAGGTATTTAATTTAATAAAAATTATCGAATAAAATTAATTTAAAAAGATACTCGAAATTATGTGAGAAAGTAGTAGTAGAAATTTCAGCGATTCGCGGTCGTTCGTTGTTTCGCATCATTCTTGTACTGCAAATATTTGTTCATTTAATGACTAACAATTCCACAGATTAAATAAATATTTAATATTTAATAAATATTATAAAATCAAAAAAATATTTATTATTTAATCGAAAAAAACTTTAAATACTCGAAAAAAATAAGCAAATAAAAACATAAAATAAAAATATAAAAGAAAATTTTTCACCTAAAATAAAATTCTTTTCAAAAATTTCTTAAATAAATATTTAAATATTTTCATTTGCAACGTTTTATTTGCGAATTTCGCGAGGCTACAACTACGATAACGATGAGAACGATGACGGTGATAATAACTTAAACAATGATAACTGAAAAATGAAAAAGCATTATTAACTGATAAAATTATTAATTACATTAATTATCATAACTGTAAATGATAAAATAAATTCGCAATTTATGGTGATAAGCATTAATGATAAGAAGATCAAACAAAATGTAATAATATAATATTATTGCTGCCATTGTACGATTCATTAAAAGAAGAGTTTTATGTTAAAGAATTTAAATTTATAAAAAAATTTTGACAAATGGAGATGGACACGATAAACGATCGATACATACTTGATCGATACAAATCCATTTTAAAGTAAAGTAAACATTGGAATTCGTTTCCCTTAACGATAATAAACGATATTTCAGACAATAACGCTGTTAAAAGGAGGAAGAAAAGAAGGGAAAAGAGGAAAAAGGATGAGGAAGGAGGAGAAAGAGGAAGGAGGGAAATGGGCAGAAAGATGAGGACAAGAAGGAAATGTCAATAAAATTAAAAAAAAGAGGAATGAAACGAATTCTCGTCCATTTTCGACTTCTCATTTAAAAAAAAAAAAAATTATGTATAAAAATTATGTGATTGGCATAGTACCACAAATAGGTTTGAAAGGAGACGGGATTTAGGTGGCATAAAATGGTTTTCGGAATAATCAAAATCATGGAAAAAGAGGTTAAGTAAAAAGTCGCGATAGTAGAAGTATAGCGAATATGAGGGAAATTTGAAGAGAATTCAAGAGAATTCCACAAAATAAAGGGATATTAAGGAATCTATACATTTTGATAGGTCCACAAGCAGGTCACATAAAGTACATCACGAAAAGGCGTAATATAACAGGATTCGGCACTTATTCAGACATCCTAACATGATTTGACGTCTTAATCATAGGATATGGTGCAATTATCAGAAGAAAATAACGGGATTAATGAAAAGGATGAAGAGGAGTTTAGGCAGTGAAGTGTTTGTAACAGGTTTTGAGGAAGTCAACAAAGGGACAACTGGACCAAAATAGGAGAGGAATAAGAGGAATGTGTCGGAGATAAACTCAAAATCTATTTCAACAATGTTTATGGCAACTGGCAATACTGCACAATATATGGCAAAATGGTACAGTGAATTTTAATTAGTTTTGAGGAATAGAATAGAAAAATTCAAAGACTTATATGTAAAGTATAAAGATATAAAGTACCATAACCATATGTGCTTTAAAAATTTACGGGGATCATGAATAATATGAGAGGGGTTCATGGGAAAAATCAGTGCGGGGTCATATTAATGGAAAGAAAGCGAATTGAAAATTTATGAGAAAGGAATTTTGAAATATATTTTGGAAGCTTGCAATGAGAAGGACATTACTATGCTACCATCTGCAACTAGGGAACTACCACTGTTTAATAATAATCATAGCAAGAAGGGGACTCGGAGGCGATAGAGATGAAATATTACCATACTTTATGGGTGTTTAAGGAAAATTTCTGGGTTATAATCAAAAGATGTAGCGATATATTAAAGTACCATGGCTTATCCTGTCTGCAGAAATTAGCCAGTACCATTAACCTAAAATGCAATAATCCCACATTAACATAAGGTTATTATCCGCTTCCAACGAAAGAATATATACGAATTAATAGAATGCATGCAGGGTTATTACTTTAATACTTACCAATAGCCTATAATGCCGTCTAACAAATTAATTAAGACGGCATAAGGAGCTCAACGCTACTGATAAGGTACCGCAAAATAGTATAGCAAACGAGGGGCATTAGCGGGACTTTAAGGAGTGTTAAGAGGAAAGCTAACAGGAGTTTTAGTGAAATTAATAAAAAAATTTAAAAATAAATTTTATTTTTCATAAAAAAATAACGAAAAAACTTACAAAAATAGCGTGAAGAGAAGAATGGTGATATTGAATAATATAATATTGAGTAGGGCGAAAGCATAGCGAAAAAACAGCACTAATAAGATTTTGAGAATACTAAAGAATATCCTTTTTTGCACCGGAAAGATCACAGAGGAATTTAAAGCTTAAAAAAAGATATCATATCATTGTTATCATATCAACCGATCTTGCAAAAATTTTATCCATATTCATGATACCTTTCAACGAAAATTCTATAAAAATAAGGCAAAATTCAAGAGTCTAGACGAGATCCAACGGGCGAGAATAAAGTGGTACTTCGATAGAATTTTTAATTCTTCGTATCCTAACACGAAAATATGATTTCAGTAAATATCCTTTCTTGCACAGATGCCAATCGCATTGCACTTAATTCGTGGATCATATTATTTATAACGGGTTTCTATTTTGTTTGATTTTATTTTAGTTACTTGAATTTCTACGAAAAAATCTTAAATTTCAAGGGTAAACGACTTTAAATCGGTAATAAATTCGCCAATATCCGATTTTTTCAATTCATTTACCGCCTTTACTAAAAGTCGGATGATATGTGGTACAAGAATTATCTCATCATCACAGCAACTTTTACGTTACCTCCTAAGAGGTGATTGGTGTTTCAGTTTGTGGAAAATTGCGCGAGTGAGGTGAGTGCGAGGGGGTTTTACGGTTTTACGTCGTCGGTTAATTAGGTTTTTTCGGAAATTATAGGAAATTCTTTATTTATGGGTTTTTTGAGAATTTTAGACTTTTTTCTTTTTTCTTTTTTACAAATATCCTCGTATTTATCTATCAATTTGCGTTTTTTTTTTTTTAAAGCTTAAATGATATTTTTTTTAGAATTGATAAATAATCAAATTTAAAAAAAAAAACGTAAAAATGTCTCGCGAATGTAGGATTTACGTTGGTAATCTTCCGTCGAATGTTCGAAGCAAAGACGTTGAAGAGCTTTTTTCTAAATATGGTAAAATCCTATTTGTTGATTTAAAAGATCGTCGACCACCGTATTTTGCTTTCGTCGAATTTGAAGATCCAAGGTTTGTTGCTTTTTAATTAATTTTAAATGTGTTCATGATCGATTTCGAATGATGCGCGCCATTTTTTTTTTCAGATGATTGCATTAATATAGCGTTGCGTTTTTCAAGGTCTCTCCAATACGAATTGATTATTTCCATTTTTCAATTTATTCTTTTTTTTTTTCTTTTATAGAGATGCGGAAGATGCGGTTCGTGGTCGTGATGGTTATGATTATGATGGTTATCGATTGCGCGTTGAATTTCCTCGTGGCGTTGGGCCACGTGGACCAGGCGGAAGGCCATATGATTCAGGAAGAGGATATGGAGGTGGGAATAGCGGATATAATCGAGGCAGATCTGGACGACGGACAAACTATCGCGTTATCATAACTGGGTTGCCTTCGTCAGGTATTATATATTATTTCTTTTTGCTGTTAAGGGCCACTGATTTCTCTCACTTTGTGCCTTAGTTCTAGTTTTATACGTGTTTCATTTAAGAAAAGAGGAAAAGAGGAAAAAAACTAAAAAATGAAAGTAAAAAATATTAAATTACCATGTAGCTCTACAGAATTTTATTTCTAGGCTCTTGGCAAGATTTAAAGGATCATATGCGCGAAGCGGGTGATGTTTGTTATACGGACGTTTTACGCGATGGCACTGGCGTTGTTGAATTTGCTCGCTATGAAGATATGAAATACGCATTGAGAAAACTAGACGATACCAAATTTAAATCTCATGAAGTATGCTTTGAGTCACATTTTGCAGTTTTTTATTTGAGATTTAGGAAAGGGCCCGCTGAAATGTTGGTCATTTTTGCTTTTTTCGTAAATCAAGATTTTATAGTTTCAGGGTGAGACGTCCTATATTCGCGTTAGAGAAGATGATGGCGGTCGAGGTGGTCGAGGAAGTAGCCGATCACGATCACCGATTGCACGTGCCACCCGTGGTTCTCCACAGTACAGTCCACAAAGTCGTTCTAGGAGTAAAAGTAAATCGAGAAGCAAAAGTCTGTAAATTCGATAGAATGCAGAAATTAAGCCTGTCGTATTTTAATGTTCAAGTGAATGTTTTAATATCGAGCTGGCTCACTGGAAAATCATATAAAGTATGTCGACAGGATGTTTAAAATTGTGACATCTGTGTCGTTTTGTGTTAAAATTTTTTACTCATCATCTGTAATTGTTTGTTCTTTCTACTCGATAATGACGTTTCTTTCATATTTTGTCTTTTTTTAAGTTCTATGACAATTATTTGCGATTTTAGATTTGATTGGCCAAGTTAGAATTCTTTTTTCGGCACATTTTATCTTTCATTCTTTTCTATTCTTCACCACTCGCGTTTTATTAACGAACTGAATAATGAAATTGTTTTTGCAGTGCTCCTGAGGAAAACTCAACGAGCAAGCACAGTTATATTGGATATATTTGGCAATGGGCAACAACTTGTCTTACCCATGGGATATATTTAGCTTCATGCAAATATTGGAGGAAGATTTCACTGCACCCAAATAGGATAAGCCATTAGATTCAACATGGAGATAACGCCTGCATATAGCATACTTTATATGACTGCATGATGGAATGGATTTACATTCATTGGATAGGAATGCTATGACTCACGATATCTTTGGTACTTTTTGCAAAAGGAGGAGGACATGATAGGTTTTGCTTTTCCTTTTTAAAATTCCAGGTTTTGTGGAAAAGAAAGATTTCAACTATAATCGGATTTGATCGCAAATTTTTTTCGAGTTTATGTTAATTATGGTTTATAATTTAAAATTCATTCTTGGAAACGTTATATTTTTGCAATGATTTTTTTGAATAAATTTATGAAATACCGGATTAAAAAAACAGTTATTAGTATCTAAGCCAAAGCAATTATGACAGCCGTTGCTTTTCGTTCAAACATAGTTGTATTGGCTGTTAAATTTCTTTTTTTTTAAGGTCAGAGGTTGAGACTGTCATTTTCAGATGGGTTAAGTGGGGAATCGCGTAACGAAGAAATAAATCCGAATGTTACGGGAAATTCTTTTTCTGCGCATTAGATCAAATTTTTTGGACAAATCTTTTGGTAATTTGAAATTTGCTTTTTACTGTTAGTGCTTAATTTTGGAATCATACATATTCGTATTATTTCTTAATTAATTGTAAATTGATTCTGTAAGCAGGTGATGAATATCCATTGCAATTATAAAATACAGGGATGAAACGAAAAGACAATTATTTTTTAATCATCGATGTGTTTGCTTATTTTTGTTTTTCCTTGGAAAAACGGAAGGAAAAGAAAGAACAAAGTAGAAAATCGGATATTGTGGTGAAGACAACGAGAACATTATTGAATTAACAATGTAAAAACTCTGGTTATGTCGAAATATGTAAAAACTTGATGGATATATCGAAAAGTAAGCGAATAAAAATTCGATGTGAACAAATGGTACTATAAAATGATCGCAAAATTGTGGTTGAATTGCTAAATTTTTGTTTATTGAATTCTTTGTTTATTATGTTTGAACGTTACTCAATTATGTTATGATAATGTACTTTTCTCGAGGAATTCAACTTTATATTTACATTGAACTGAATTCCATTAAACTTTACTAACAACAATTCAGTAATGTGTAAATAAATGCGATTAGACTTAATATTGTTAGTACTTGAAAATCTTTTAATAGTAGCGTATACAAATTACTGGCTGGAGCTTATAAATTGGTTAAGGGGAAGAGGTATTTCTGTTGGAATTAATTTATGAGGAAAAGGTGTTTCTGAGCGTATCGATTCAATAGTATGTTTGAGGAGGAATCATTTTCCATCCGTCTTTGTTCAGATATCGACATGATGACATACCTCTATGTTGCTATGGCATAACCTAAGCAACATAGGCAATCTTCGGTGGCGATACCATAAATATAATATCGAAATATGGATGCAGTCGTATTAGGCTCTAAACGAAGCATGCAAAGTATCTATCTTAAGCGGGACTAGCTGAAGATATAGTCCACTCTAAATGGCCAGGTTACGCGCTGCAGTTTGCTAAATCTTTGGAAGAAAATTTCTTACTGGAATTGCTAGCTGGACTTGGAATTTTCTATATTTATTTTTATTGAATTTATTGGAACGATGTGATTGTTGATTCCACATAGTCATCTATTTCGGCTATGGTACTTTGATGAGGAAAAAATATGCCACTTTTAATCGGTAACTTGGCCAATTTCATCGAAGTTGTTGTTATTGTTTGTTATTGTTCATGTTTCTCACGTACAGATTCACGTACGAGTTTGTTTCGAACGTATTATCTTTAATTTTATAAATAGCAAAATCAAGCGACATCAAGCGAGTTTAGTTTGTGATATTGGTATTGGTAACATAAGACGTTTTAAAGGTAATTTGAAAAAATAATTTTTAATGGAATAATAATTATTTGATTTCCTATTTAAGATTTACAAAATTTCTGTTTTTGGTTGAAATTCCTTTTTTTTTTTGAAAACCGATTTTTGGCCAAAAAAATTTTTTTTTTTTTTGTACTTGAATATTTGGCTGAAAAATTCTTTTATAAATCTTGTTCTGACTATAATTATTTTTTTTATAATTATTTTAATTATTATAATTATAAGCGAAACGCAGCCAATTTTCTTTCTGGTGAACATTTTTGTATTTGTTGAGCGACTCTTCCAGAAAGCTTATCCTACCTCATCTCTCAAGTCTTTTCCTTCAGTCCTCTAAGAGAGAACGCAAGGTTGAGAATCTTAGCAGAGAATCTATTTTTAAACGCCCATTTAAGCCAAAAATATCATTCATTACATTGGGTTAGCTTTATTCATACGAAAATAACGATAAAATTTTATAATTTTATGAGTGTGGGCAATAGCAATTCATGCGATTCTCAGCTATTTGGTTCTGCTATGTTTCAACGTTGTTGATTATTTTGATTGTGATTCCTGATAATTGCTTATTCCTCGCTGTTAATCATATCAGCTGTGGTTCGATTGATAAGGCGATATTTTAAAAACAAGAGGAGGTGAGGAGAGGGAGAGGTGGGGAAGAGGGGGGGGGGGAATTGAAATTCTTTTATGGAATTCATCTTTATTGAAATTTCCAGTTTTTTCCTATTTCTAATGAATCATTTTGTATTGATCAATGAATAAAATTTTAGGAAATTTAACGATTATTTTTAAATAAAATAAATAAATTTTCAATTATGCAATTAAATTTTCTACTGTACAGGTTCAGGTTTAATGTCCTAGGGTCATTGTTCAGGTCCAATGTCCAAGGGGTGCTATACGATTCAGGCTCAACGTCTTGGAGACATTGTACAGTTCAGGTTCAATATCCTAGAGATACTCAATGCACCGGAAATACTAAACGATTCAGGCTCGATATCCTAGTGACACTATACGATTCAGGCTCGATATCCCGTAGATACTGCACGATTTAGGCTCGATGACCTAGAGAGGTTTTACAATTCATGCTCAATGACCTATAGAGACTATACGATTTAGGCTCAATGACCTAGATAGGTTATCCGATTTCGATCAACAATAGTGACTATACGATTTAAAGTTTGAACCGAAGTAGAGTTTCTCGAATTTTTTGCGAGATATCAGTAAATATCTCGCATTTTTCCTTTACTTTTATTATTCTTTCATAAATTTTTAATTTTATTTTATTTAAATTAAATTTATTTAAATTTATAAAAATTAAATGATTTATAAAATAGTAAAAATGGTAATTTTTATTATTTTTTTATATTTATTAATTTATTTTGATTTAAAATATTTATTTTTTTCTTTTTAACATAAAAAATTTAATAAAAAATGGCTATAAAATTTTATTTTATATTTAATATTACATAATTTAATAAAAAAAAAAAAATCGACGATTTCTAAAATGGATTTTTCTTTTCTTTTACAATAATAGATTTTTATAGATTTTGCAATATAAATCGGAGTCGAAAGATTATCGATGGAATAAAATATTTCTATTATATTTTTCTTAATCGAAAAAAAAAAACAAATCTAAATGGATTCTAAAGAATTTAAAATGCAATAATTAGCAATAAAATAAATATTTAATTAAAATATTAATTGAAATAAAATAAATATTTCTGGTGAATAAATAAAACATAAACAAATAAATAAATAAATAAATAAATAAACAAAAATAAATAAATTAGCATAAAAATTATAAATATAAATAAAAAAAAATTAATTATTAACAGTCAGCTTTATTCGAAATAATAAAATAATAAAAATAGTTGAAAAAAATTTTTATAGTTTTTTATAAAAAAATAAAAATGCAATTTTTAATAAAAAATAGATAAAATTAATTTATTAAATTATTAAATACAATACAAATAAATAAAATACAAAATCGCTTTATTCAAAATGGTTTTTTCTTCGCTTTTAATTTATTATTTTAAATTCTTGAAAATCAAATAAAAAATGAATTTTATTAAAATTGAAAATATTTTAAATTGTTTGCAAATGAATCATTTCATTGTTAAACAATTTTACAACCGTTTTTACAATATTTTATTTTTCGATTATAAAAATTATTTCTAACGAATTTTCATCCAAATTTTTTCATTCGTTATTTTATATACTTACTTTTACTTCCCATTTTATTTACTTATTTGTCATTTACTTACTATTTATTTTGCAAGTAAATCATTGATAAGCAAGTAAATGATTAGTTATCACCAGTTTAGACATTAATTAACATTAATAATTGATATAGTTAAAAATATTTACCATGGATTATTTGGCAACAAAAAAACTAAAAGTGGAAAAATCCTCAATGGAATCTTAATATATTTATTTTTTTCCGGATATAGGACCGGAAACCTTACTCGTTTAAGGTGTTGATCTGAGAGGTGGCTATCATCGTTCTATCCTTGGCTATGCCATATGAAAGGCCACCATCCTGCTATCCTTGGCTATGCCGTATGAAAGGCCACCATCCTGCTATCCTTGGCTATGCCATATGAAAGGCCACCATCCTACATCCTTGGCTATGCCA